GGTAATTTTAAATTATTCTTTGCCGTTGGAAATACATAACCTTCACTTAAATACAAACAAGCATTGGACTTGTTCCATTCAAGTAACATATTTGACATTTTCCAGTTATCACAGTATCTACCAAAAAGCCGCAGCAAAATTCTGATGTGGTACTGCAGCAGGTTGGAAAAAAGTATTAATCTAGCAAAACCTATGATCTTGCTAAAAGGTATTTGAACGTGACAAACCAGACTTATATGCATGTACCATCCACCTTGTAACAGCTTTAAATAATATTAAAATCTTGTAGTTTAAATAATTTAAATAGATGAGCATTAAGGTATTTGTGAATGGCAATATTTGAAACCAGACTCGAGTGCCACATGCGACTCTCACACGAAGAATGTAATTTATTTTTAAATGTTACAATATGTTTTCTCTTCTTGTTTGTATGTCGCCATTTTTTTTTAGTGTTAAATAAAAGTTATTGCTGTGTTCCATTATTGGAGTTGCTTCATTTCGCCAAAGAAGTATTACAGTCTTAATTATTTTGGAGGCACCGACCGAGATCAAATAATCATGCGTATTTTTATTTTATCACTGAACTATTTCATCACTGAACATAATATTAGTGATATCAGATTATTACTTCCTGTTCATATAGAATTGCTTTATTTTATTAGTTCATCACTGAACGCAATATTAGTGATACCAGATTATTACTTCCTGTTAATAATAAATTGTCTTATTTTATTACCGTATTTGATATTATATTTAATATTCATTTTAGTTGTCCAAACGGTAGATATATATATTGCTCTATGTTATTATTCTTATTTTAATCACAATTAATGTGGTAGAGAGAATGAACTTCATATAATTTAAATATTTCATTTTTGAGCTATTTGAGGAAATATAAGGAACACAGTGTTCGTTAATTTTAAACATAGAATCAATGTCTTACTTAGGAAGAGCTCGTAAGGAAGATTTGCAAAATCTCACGGCTGAACTGGGAGTTCATGTGACTGCAGATTTGAAAATAGTTGATTTAAAACAGAAAATTGTTGAAAGTAGAGATTATGATGAAGTCTTAGTCAAAGGAGTCTTAGACACAATAATAGAAGAACGGAAAGAGAGGGAGGAAAGGGAAAGAGAAGAAAGGAAAGAGAGGGAGGAAAGAGAAAAACGAAAAGAGAGGGAAGAAAGGGAAAGAGAAGAACGTAGGAGACAGGAAGAAGCAGAAGAGCAGAGAAGGAATGAACAGATTGAATTAGAGAGATTAAGACTTGAAGCAGAGACAAAGTCTCAAAATACCGGACAGATCCGGCCGAAAACGGAGCTACGTCACCTTATGCAGAAATTCGATGACAAGAAAGGAGATATCAGTCTGTATTTGCTATTGTTTGAAAGGCAAGCAGAATAGGGCTCAAATTGATAAAGAAGAATTACTTCCTTACTTCTTATCATTTACTAGGACTACTTCCTTAACGAAGTAACCCAGTTAATAGCTAGAGAACCCTCCGATAAAGCTAAAGACTATGAACACACGTGAAGAATTTATTGTTAAGACGGTTTAAACTAAGCCCGGAAAAGTTTAGGCAGAAATTTATGAAACATCAAAAGCGTACCGAATCCATATGGGTGGATTTCAATTATGAAATAGAAAATTATTGCAAAGAATGGGTGACTGGTCTAGGAGTTAGACTTTTGATCAGTTGCTAGATTTGATGGTGATTGACCAACTTAAACGTCGAGTTCCTCCTGAAATTCGAGATCATTTTCTTGATGAGTGGGTAGAGATGATTTCATCTAAAAAATTAGCTGAAAAACTTGATGCCTATGAAAACGTTTGCGGAAATTTCAAAAAAAAGGCCTGTAGTGGATCGGCAGAAAGAAAGATACAATGCACTAACTCAAGGTAAATTGAGTTCAGATAATAAAAATAAAACTGAAAAAAAAAAATGTCATCAGGATTTAATACGCAAAGTGGTTTCATAGACCTAGAAGTCCACGTCCAGATGATAAATATGAAAAACAAAAAACGCCACAATGCTATCAGTGTGGATCCTATCAACATTTAAGACCCCAATGTCCAAAACTTAAGAATAGTACTGAATCTCCTGCTAATCTTAATAGAATTAGTGCAAAACCAGAAGATAAATTTATATTACCTTATACTAGTATGGGTTACGTAAATGGTCATAAAATTCCTATATTAAGGGATTCAGGTGCTAGTATTGATACAGTTTGTCGCAAATACATCACACCGGAAATGCTGACAAGTGAAAATGTGTGGGTGCAACAGCCATTAGATTTGAATCCAACCTGTTTACCATTGGCTGAGATCGAACTAAATTGCGATCTTGGGCGAGTAATAACTAAGGCTGCTATTATTAGAAATAAACTCGACAAAGAAAGGTATTTATTAGGCAATTGAACTTTTGCACTGTTGAATAAACAAGGAAAGGAACCTAATAGTTATCCTCACCAGGTTAATGTCGTCTCTAGTAGAGCTCAAAGGAAAAGAAAAATAGCTGAAGAGAAGATCTTGAAACCGATGAAGGAAGAAAATAAAGCATCCAAAGATATCTTTGAAGAAGAAGTTAAATCACCAGAATTAAACGTGGAAGATTTTCATGAAAATTTGAAAAACGATAAAAAAATTAATATTGAGAATCATTTTGCAATGCAACGTTATCATCATCTTTTGGCTTTCTATTTAATATCAAAGCCCCTACTAATAGACGAAGAAAACAATTGTTGAAAGCAAATGAAAATTGAATATTTTTCGAAAGGCACAGATGAACTGAGGAAATGCTTTGCTGTGAATTATAGCCGAGGAACTGGTCCAACATGGAAGAGATCTAGGCGCTGTCAAGGAAAAAAAGGAAGACTAATTTGAGCACTGCCCATTTTCTTCCTATTTAAATGTGGTGTAAAAATATTTGTTTAAAACTTAAAAATTTTGGCCTGAAGTTTGGAAACTTATCAGAGAAGTTACCTTTTCTCTTTAAGCAAATGAGCAAGCCAAGCTTATTAAACTGTCGAATTTTACAGAACTTTTCCCTTCGTAAAAAGTCTCTCCATTGGGGGAGAGGTTGTAACAGCTTTAAATAATATTAAAATCTTGTAGTTTAAATAATTTAAATAGATGAGCATTAAGGTATTTGTGAATGGCAATATTTGAAACCAGACTCGAGTGCCACGTGCGACTCTCACACGAAGAATGTAATTCATTTTTAAATGTTAGAATATGTTTTCTCTTCTTGTTTGTATGTCGCCATTTTTTTTTTTAGTGTTAAATAAAAGTTATTGCTGTGTTCCATCATTGGAGTTGCTTCATTTCGCCAAAGAAGTATTACAGTCTTAATTATTTTGGAGGCACCGACCGAGATCGAATGCGTATTTTTATTTTATTAGTTCATCACTGAACATAATATTAGTGATACCAGATGATTACTTCCTGTGTGTTTCTCCCTTTTTGGAGTGTATGTTATTCAGTACAGAAACCACAAGCACAACTGTCCCCAACTACTTAAAAGAGGAAAAAAAAAAAAAAAAAAACACCTTTCACTCTCTCGTTCTATACCACCAAACACCCAGTTTACCACCAGCAAACAATTTACAATGTAAAACACAAAGTATACAACATACTTCCTAACCCACATCTAATCGAGAAATAAGCCCTTACAAGTATTTTCCCATCAATCAAAGTGACTGCAATCACGTCATAATAGGGTTTCCATAACATTCAATGGTTACAGTAGATTGAAGGGTGCTCCTCGTATTATCGCGAAGCTGTTGTTTCACTTATTGCCAAGTTATTGCTTCAATTATGGTAACATGAGTAATTGAATGTTATGGAAATCCTATTATGACATAATCGGTTGCATGACTGCTGTAAATTTTAAATGATGGAAAAAAGATTTGTAAGGGCTTGTGATGTTTGTTGGTTAGGAAGTGCATTGCTTGTTTTGTGGTTTACATGGTAGAATGGCTGAATGTGGTAAAATTAATTTGAAATTCCTGTATGATTTGGAATGAAAGGATAAAAGTGCATTAATTGACTAATATTGTAAATGAAGGTTTACTTAGAAGTCATTATAATGCAGTTTGTAGGAAGGAAATGCGTATGGTTGAACAACGGACAATACCAGCAATGTAAAGGATATTTTTTACCCTTATTTTTTGTTAATTTATGTGGTGATGACGATATACAGATTCTAGTTCAGGTAATTTTAGGAAGTTTTTGGATGCTGTTAAGGAATTTTGTTTGCCACAGACTGAAGGACTCTTTCTAAAAAAGGTAAGTGGGTATTTGCTTTGTATAGTGCTTAGATGCATAAGATGAACTTCCTTTATGTTATTTTATTGTTTGTTTTAAAATACAGTTTATTGAGATTATGTATTTTTTGTTTGGCTCTACAGTAGAATTGGGTGCTCCTTTGACTTTTTAAGTGAAAATTGATCGATGGAGAAAAAGAAGGGAGTGAGCAGTGCCAAGTTTGTGCAATTCTGTGATGTTTTTAAAAGTGAAAATAGGTCGATCTGTGCATGGATTAAGTCAAGGAAGAGTACAGTCACAAGTTTGTGCAATTCTTTAACTTGTTATTTTGTCTTTGTGTAGCTATGATTTTTGGCGCAAAAATCTCCACTATACAAAGTCCAAATAACAAGTCAAACAATTGCACAGTCGGTATCCATGTCTCACCAAAAATTGCCAAAGGCCACCCGTAAATATATTTTTACCCATTCAAGTACATAAACAACCATAAATGAAACAATTTGGTGACAAATGAAGCAAGTCTGCGATAATTTCTGGGCACACTAAAATATAGTCTAACCAAAATTAACTTGAAGAAATAAATTTCTTTCTCTTGTAAAATAAAAAAAAAAAAAAAAAAAATGTTTTTAAAATTGTTTATTACTTATTTTGATCAAAATTTACATATGCCACAAAGGTCATCATTAAGCTTTATGGCACCTGGAATACCTAAATTTAAAAAAAAAAAAAAAAAAAACTGTTGGTTAATTATTTTGATTTAATGATAATTCACGTACCTCATACAGCATCAGCAGTAGACTCTACGCCCCACGATGCACTAGTGATCATAAGCAGTAACCTGTAAATCTTAAATTTACCCACTGAGTGATGTCTGAAGTCTAAGACTTTTGCCACTCCTAAATTCTGCCTTCCGCTGCAATTAAAACACACTTGACCTCACATAGTGAAAATTCATTGCTGCATGCATAAGTCCTATTACACTGAAAATTATGCATTGTTACTAACATAAATGTTCCTTCAGACACAAATTTTCTCTTGGTATATATACACGTTTCTTCCTCTGTCAAATTGACTGGTTACATAACTCACAAGATTTCTGCTCTATGGCAATAAAGGCTTCAGACATTTAAATCACCATTTACCATCACTTTCACATACTCGCATACAAGGTCCCTCTCCGGTACAAATATGCATATGTTTAAATTACCTTTTTTAATTACGACATTTCCCATACTTCACACACGAGGTTTCTCTGCTGTGTGAATACGCATATGGAAATTTAAATTCTGCTTTAGGCTAAATGACTTTTTACATACTTCACACATATGAGGTTTTTCTCCTGTGTGAGTAAGCATATGTTCATTTAAACTAACCTTTTGTATAAATGATTTCTTACATATTTCACACACATGCACTTTCTCTCCTGTGTGAATACGCATATGCATGCTTAAATTATGCTTTAGACTAAATGACTTTTTACATACTTCACACATATGAGGTTTTTCTCCAGTGTGAGTAAGCATATGACTGTTTAAACTAAACTTTTGCCTAAATGACTTCTTACATACTTCACACATATGAGGTTTTTCACCTATGTGAGTAAGCATATGCACATTTAAATTACCATTACCCCTAAATGACTTCTTACATATTTCACAAACATAAGATTTCCCTCCTCCATGAATAAACATATGCACCTTTAAATGGCGCTTTAGTCTAAATGACATTTTACATGCTTCACATATATGAGGTCTTTCTCCTGTGTGGGTAAGCATATGCTCCTTCAAACTATCCTTCTTCTTAAATGATCCCTTACATATTTCACAGACATTAGATTTCTCTCCTGTGTGGGTAATCATGTGCACATCTAAATTAAACTTGCGCCTAAATGATTTCTTACATACTTCACACTCATGATGTTTCACTCCTGTGTGAATAAGTGTATGCAGGTTTAAAGTACCCTTTTGAGTAAATGCTTTTTTACATACTTCACACACATGGGATTTTTCTCCTGCATGAATACGCATATGCATGTTTAAGCTACATTTTTGAGTAAATGTTTTCTTGCATACTTCACAAACATGAGGTTTCTCTCCTGTGTGCATAAGCATGTGCACATTTAAACTAGCTTTATGACAAAATGACTTCTCACATATTTCACACCCATAAGGTTTCTCTCCTGTGTGACTACGCATATGTGTGTTTAAATTAAACTTTCGCTTAAATGACTTCTTACACACTTCACACACATGAGATTTCTCTTTTGTGTGAATAAGCATATGCCAATTTAAAGTAGCTTTTAATCTAAATGACATCTTACATACCTCACACACATGAGGTTTCTCTCCTGTGTGAGTATGGATATGCATGTTTAAATCACCCTTGCTCCTAAATGACTTCTTACATACTTCACACACATGAGGTTTCTCTCCTGTATGAATAAGCATACGATTGTTTAAAGTGGCTTTGTAATTAAAGGACATTTCCCATATTTAGCACATGAGGTTTCTTTTCTGTGTGAATAAGCAGCATATACTTGTTTAAATTGCCTTTCTGATAAAATGACTTTTTACATATTTGGCATGTACGAGGTTTCCTTCCTGTGAGAACAAGCATATGCATGTTTAAACAATTTTTTCAATTAAATTATTTTGTACATACTTTACACACATGAAGTTTCTATCCTGCAGGAATAAGCATATGTTCTTTCAAATCTCTCAGTTGCCTAAATTATTTGTTATATTTTACAGACACATGGAGTTTCTCTTTTGTATAAGTATGTATATGCTCTTTTAAAAATATTGCCTTTACAAATCACAAAAAATCTCTAAGGAGAGAGATTCCTTAGAGATTCTTTGACAAATCATTTATTACAGATCTCCTAGAACATGAAAGTTCCATACTATTTTTATAAATATAGCTGACATCCTTGATATTATAAATGTCACTATATACCTCACGATGAAATTCACATTGTGCATTGATGTAAAATGTGTTACTTATCAAAAATTTTAAACAATTAGTTATTAGATCGTTCACTTTTATTTTACCTGTCATGCACAATTATGCATCAATATCTTTATAAAAATATCAGCACATATTATTCATGAGAAAAATATGCTTTATGGTGTATTCATATCTTGATCTGCACGACTGCTTCATTAAAATTTTGCTATATTTCACATAAATAAATTTTTGCCTGATATATAAAGAAGTTTAATACAGAATTTATGCAATTATGACTACATGGAGTTTTGATTTTTCTATGACTGTTAACCAGTGCATTAAAGTTTGAAGAATTTTATTGTTATGCTAGAAGTTCAGCTATTCTGAAATTTTTGCTGTCACTGCAGAAAAAATATCAAGTAACTTTCTCCTTCTTCTGGGCCATTGCAGATGGACTCTTTGAGAATATTAATACTCTGAAAACAGAAGGCATTTAACCAAAATTTATCTATCCTTTATCTACAATCAGGATATTAACAATTTGTTGCAAAAATGCAGCGGAGACATACAGGGCATATCTCTGACACTTCGCTCACGTTTAAGGTAAGTTTGATTCTTATTTTCCTCCTGTTTGAATTCTCGTCACAGCTTGCGCCTACGGAAAAGGTTAGTCTCGTATTACCACTTCTCCGCTAAATCGTCAAAGTAGTAAACGCATGGTCTTATTTTGCACCCGCTAAGTCTTTCTGCGCAGATGGACAAAAAATCAAATTTAGATGCAGTATTTCAAAAGAGACAGACAGACAGACAAAGTAGACAGATGTCTTGTTTTGCACCCGCTAAGTCTTTCTGCGCCGATGGGCGAAAAATCAAGCATAGGTGCGAAGGAAAGGTATATAGAAAGAGGGGTAATTTCGTATTTGAGGAGAGTAAAAAGGAACTTCGTACATCTTGTACGAGTTCAAAAGGCCAGGAAGAAAAGATGGGACAAAATAAAATTTAAATAAATGGCCCAAAAATAATAGAGGGAAAAAGAAAAAAAAAAAAAAAAAAGGCCTATAGAAAGAAAAGGAAAAGAAGTAGAAAATATCCTAAAATACGATTGTGTCCATGAGTGTAGTTAAAAGGAGAAGAAACTGTCTTCATTTACAATAAATAGTGTCTCACAGGTGTGTTTGTGTAGTGAGTGTGTTTGGTAATGGTGAATAGATGTGTTACTGGGGAAAAAACAAATATTGACGGTGTTAAAATGCTTCGTATCAAGGTATTTAGCATGGAATATAAAGTAATATGTACGCTTGCATCCTGAGATATCAACAAAGGTCATCAAACAAAAGTATATATTAATTTAACCAAAGTAACTTATGCTACTTTCATTCTCAACATTTTCATACATTTTTCAAAAAGCAGCAGCAGACTAACAACATAGAACCATATACAATACAAGACCACAACCGCATACACCCAAAAAATAAATAAATAAATAAATAAAATAATATATATATATATATATATATTATTTTATTTATTTATTTATTTATTTTTTTATTTATCAGCGATTTTACCCCTCGCTGAACACTGGAGTTCGGTCCGAAGTTCGAATCCCGCGAACGGGCTGGCTGCATGTGAGTTTTCGTGGTTTTTCCCATGTGTAACGTGTATACGAGCCAGTTTCCCTTAGAAAGTCCTCCACGAAGGCATCCCTCCCCTTAGGCAGATAGCCCTAGTGTGCTTTGCCGTATTCTCAATACACCAATGCACTCAATAAAGATTGGGAGTCCAGTTACATAACTTTTGTGAAATGAACTGAAGTAATGTAAAAATTTGTGAAATGAACTGAACTGAAGTGGCGCGAGGCGCTGCTTTTCGTGACGTCAGCGTCAGCCTGCGCGCTGAGCAAGAACCTCCTTGGCGCTGAGTGTTTACAAGCGTCTAGCCCCTCAGATGCTAGTTTCCTCCTGGTTCCTCCCTGAACATCTGCGCAGATTACTGCGCATGTCGTCATTTTCCTGAAGGCGCCTCGTATTTACTATTTACTCTGCTCTTTGACTGCTGTGGTAGCGTGTGATCGCTGATGCAGTTCTCTTTTTTTATTTTGCTTCGATTATTATATCTTCTGCACAAAATCAAGTAAAACTGCCCATTTCAGGGCCAAGTACTTCTGTTTCCTCAGAAGGTATTTTTGATTTTAAATCGAATCAAAATCAGGAAGGAGTAACCGTGTGCGATAATTCCAATTGTGGTATGTGTGATAATTATGATTGTGTTGTGAGTGATATGGTTCATTGTGCAAATGATTTTAGTATAGCTGAGAGTGATTTTGTTTGCCGTGATTGCTTAAAACTTTCAACTATAGATACAATTTGAAACGCCATGCATATAAATTTCATTACAATAATACTACATTAATTGAGTCTCTGAAAACTAAGTTCTAATAGTATGGTTGATTGTGCAAATAATTTTAGTGTGGCTGAGAGTAAATTTGTATGCTGTGATTGCTTAAAAACGTACCAAAATAAATGCAGTTTGAAACGCCATACCAACACATTACACTCTAATAATACTACATTATTTATTCTTTAAAAAGTGGTCGATCACCAAGCTACAAATGTGAGGACTGCTATCTGAAATTTAGTGACCTAAAAAATTGGAAATATCATCAAAATAAAATTCATACTTCTAACAGGTAATTATGTGTGTCCTGTATGTTATGCTAATTTTGAAAAGCGAGAAATAATATTTCATTTCAATAATGTTCATGATGTTGATTTGAATCATACTGAGCTGGAATTTAATTCATTTGATGATTTTTTGGCATAGAAGGCAGAAATTGAAAATAATACGAAGTCAAAATTTCTTATGGAGTAAGCATATTTAATATACATGGTGTAATGCCACTGTTCAGGAAATTTTATATCAGAAAGTAAAGGTTTGCGTCACTTAAAAATCCTTGATAGCAATAAAATAAATGCATATTGCCCAGCTGAATTAAAAGTAACAGAACATACAGATGGCAAATGTGTAGTGTCATATCAGAAAAATATGGCCCACCAGCGGCCGAGCGGTAAAGTCGCTGAACACTGGTAGTTCGGTCCGAGGTTCGAATCCCGCGAACGGACTGGCTGCATGGGCGTTTTCATGGTTTTCCCCATGTGTAACGTGTATACGAACCAGTTTCCCTTAGAAAGTGCGGTAAAATCCTAGTATACGGTGCAGCCTTGGCGCGACTTTGAAAAATTATCGCCAACACCAAAAATGATCCAAAGAACGTCTATATATATACTATACACACATACTATATATACTATGTTTAACTGTATATTTTCTTTGAATGACCCGTTAACTACTCATCGTATATGTCCCGTTTTTACTGCTCATCATAAAGTCACCAAAAGTAGCCAAATCCCGTGTGCACCGGATACTAGGATTAAACCGAAAGTGCTCCACGAAGGCATCCCTTCCCTTAGGCAGATAGCCCTCAAGGCTTTGCCATAATCTCTCACACACACACACATATCAGAAAATACATATTGGGCATCGGAATGATTTAGGTCACTTATTTTTAACAACAGATGAAATAAAAAATATTGCATCAAAGATAGCAGCAAAAATTTCTCTGGATAATATTTTAGATGAAATTAGAAATTCTCTATGAGATGCTGGGCTTGAGAAGGTTCATTTACTTACAAAACAAGATTTACATAACATCAAAAAATCTTTCAATTTGTCTTCTAATTCTGTTAAACATGAAAATGATTAGGTTTGTGTAGATACGTGGGTACCTGAAATGCAAAATTCTGAACATCCATGCATTTCATTTTATAAAACCCAGGGATCAACATAGCATGAGTGAATATTGTACACAATATTCATTTCTAAAAGGAAATGATTTTGTTTTGATAATGATGACAGAAGCACAAAGAGAGATACTGAAAAAATTTAGTTCTGACTTGTATATGTATTGATGGTACACATGGGGTGAATGCATACAGATTTGAACTCGTAACTTTACTTACAATAGATGATTTGTGCCAAGGATTCCCGTGTGCATTTTTAATTTCTAATCCATGTGATCAGCCAGTGCTATCATTTTTTTTTTTTTTCATGTATTAAAGAAAATGTTGGGCAAATACAACCACAAATATTTATGTCTGAAATGGGTTTACTACAGAAACGTCTTTTTTGTGCATGGCATATTGATAGAGCCTGGGGAAACAATTAAAAAAATAAATGGTGTTGAAAAACAGGCAAAAAAACATATAAAATTATTAGATCTCTCTTAGAAGAACAAGACATTCATACTTTTCATACACTGACAAAAGCAGCAATAAAATTACTTAAAGAAGATCCTGACACTATTGAATTTGTAAATTACTTTGAAACATTTATAAAATACATCTAGCTGGGCATACTGTTATAGACTTCACAGTGGTGTTAACACAAACATGCACATCGAATGAATTCACCGAACATTAAAATATATTTATCTTCATGGAAAAAATGTTAAGAGATTGGATAACACTATACATGGTATTATGAGATTTGTAAGAGATAAAATGATTAACTGCTTAATTACAGCAAATAAAGTTAAATTAACAAGTAAGATTTGGGTTTTAAGAATCAGACATAAAACAAATGAAACACTATGTTTATAAGTAATAGAGAATGAGAATGGGTGGTCTGTTTCATCAACACATACAGAAATATACACTATACATAAAAGTAACAAAACTTGTACATGTCACATACAGTGCACTGTGTGTAGTCTATGCATTCATTGATATACTATATGCAGCTGTATTGATTCATCAGTTTGTAGAGACATTATTTTTTTGGATGCAGGCAAGATGAAAAATATGCAACGCCTTCGCCGGGAATCGAACCGCGGACCTCTGGATACACATCACACCATGAAGGCATGCCAAGAAGGTGGGAGAAGATCGAGTGGTGTTTTTAGGGGACCTAATCGCCAAATCCTGGGTGTGGAGAACAATCATCTAACACCCTTTTAGTTCGGGCGCCACTGTACAGACATTAGAATTTTACATTGGAAGCAAGAGGGATTGAAAAATTAGCAATGCCTTCGCCGGGAATCGAACCACGGACCTCTGGAATATGCGCCCAGTGTGCAGACCACCACACCAAGAAGGCGGGAGAAATACCTTATAAGTTAGGTGGAGTATGTGCAAACACACTAGAAATACTGCTACTTATTAAATACATTACTTACATCAGCACACTAGAAATACTGCTACTTATTAGATACATTACTTACATCAGCACACTAGAATACTGCTACTTATTAAATACATTACTTACATCAGCACACTAGAAATACTGCTACTTATACTACAACTACAATACATAATGAATTATCCACTTATTATAGATGATGAAAATGAATTTTGAATTAAGTAGCCGAAAAAAAAAATCACAGACCCTCTCACTGGAACACACAGAGTCGTAGCTAGGTTTTCAGCGCCCAGAGACAACTGAAGATTTCGTGCCCCCTACTGCTCGCCAAGGATGGAAAAGATTTAATTCTAAAATGTCGTAACATCAGTTTGGCGCCCCTTGGATTCTGCGCCCGGGAACAGATGCCCCCCTTGCCCCCCTCTAGCTATGCCCCTGGGAACACAGAAAGAATGAACTAAAACAAACATGTTTAGAATTAGTAGATTCATTAAAATCTGACAAACAATGTGATGTGTTAAACAAGATTCTTAAGTCAGCACCACTACAACTAGAAGCGGCTGATATGTTAAATGCA